AAGCAAACATGCAACACAGTTCCCCCTCCATTCCCCCCCCCTCCCCTCCCCAAGCTTTCAAATATCCACCTACTCCAATATGTTAAAAAGAACATTTGAAAGGTCATCAGAAATTCCTGATTTAATGATAAATAAAAGGCTGGAAAGGATGCAATTTGAGATGGGGAACTAGGAAAGATCTAAATAGGAAGAACCAAAATGAACGGCAACTTGCAGCAACAACATGATTATACAGGACTTCAGCAGAGAAAATGTTGAAAGGGACAGGAAACGCTGCCTGGAGTGAAGCAGGACCAATGGACCCAATTATGGGACAACATCAACTGAGTGGGCAACAAGTTAACTTTCAGTTAGAGAAGAATAATCTGAGGGATGCACTGAGCATCAAGACAGTATCTATGAAATGCACCTGCAAGTGCAACTTGAAGGCAACACAGAAACACCCCAGGCTAGCGCAATGAAGTCTCTTCTTACAAACCAATTGCCAATAAAGAAATTCTCAAATTCAGTTTAAATGCAGGCACTTCTTCCTGTTTGGCCTGAAGCAGATTAACAAATATTTACAGGCAAAAGGTAAGAACTTCAGACCAGCTTTTTTTCCTTCTGAAAAACTAATACACAAAATTAGGATAAAATTAGACCATATACTTTAAAACAAGATTTAATTTTGGTCCATGTTCTCAAAGGAAAATAATACAGCAAGGCCATTTTGCTAACATATGCCTCATTTTCTGCTAGAATGCAAAGTCACTCCAAACTGAACAGGCAGCTGGAAGTGACAGTTTTGCTCCCTGCTTTAACAAGACATTGGTAGCAGCTCAGCTTCCTCTTCCCATTGCCAAGCCCTCCACAAGAGAACTAAAAAAGGAACCATCTGAGGGAAAGGAGAATGAGAGACTATTTTTGGGGAGCTAGTTTTGTACACTCAGTCACATGATAGCACTGTAAATGTCTCTCTCCCTCTCTATAAATTACATGCTTTTCTTTGAATTCTGCTTGTATACATTGTTCTTTGAGGAGATGTCTCTGTACTTCAGTTCTGTCTTGATCTATGGGGTCAGTCACCTTTCCTGCTCACATTTCATGACTGAAAAGCCAATCTCCCAGTTCCTGAGTTCATGTTCAGCTATGTATCCCTCAATTAAGTGAACCACCACATCATTTATATAAATAAATGAAACCATTTATACAAGTCAAAGGGCAACTTTTCAGTTAAACATATTATTTTTGAATCAGTTTGTATTACTATTATTATTTCACAAATCTTCCAGTACCTGATGATTTCCTACACTGTTTGCATTTTAAAGTATTTCATCCTATGCCTTCCCCCCTCTGTTCAGGGGTCACTGCCTGCAGACCTGAAGACTGAGCTGATTTCTCCTGATTTATCAGTGATCTCTGAGTTCATTCACACCTACAGCCCTGAAACTGTGACCAACATACAGAACAAGTTGTTTTAAAGATTAAACTATTTTCTTTAATGGTTTTCTTTCTGCCTTAGGCCACATTTTAAGTAGATTATATGTAAACACACCAGCATTATATTCTATGTGTGAGAGAATTAAGGTGCCAGCCCAGACTATCCAGGAGGTAAAGGGACGTGCCCTCCTCATTCTTGGACTTTGGGAAAGCTGGACCTCACACAGCTGAGGAGAAATCAATTCTCCACCATGCAGAGCTCTCAGTTTATGCTTAAGAATGTTCTCAAAGCTGAGTGAGCCAAAGGAGTTTTCCCAGTGACTGGAAGGTGCCTTGCACACACAGAGGTGACATCTGGAGAGTCTTGCAGCTGATTTCCTGTTTCCCTGTGACACGAGACTGATCCATTTCTGAATTCACTCCTCCCCAAAGCAGTGATACACAGGTCTGCCAGCACAAGCTGCTTTTCAAACTGTTTTGCTGAGATTGTTGTTTCTGTCACCTGGGTCACATTTATTGTCAAATTGCTCTATCAATATTAACCACTCAAGTGAAGGCTTTTTTTTTAGGCTTTTTTAATATAAATCAGCAAAGGCTGAGAATGGAAGGCTGAAAAGGCAGACCAAATGATCACAAAATCACAAAATGTAATTTCTACTCTCCATCACCTTACATAAACAAGAATGCTTTCAGTTCTTGAGAGCACATAAACAAGGTAAAAACTTCAGGAAGTGGCAAACAACGTCTCAGAGACAGGAAATGAAACATGAAAGACTTGGTAAGTAATCATCCAAAAATGAAAGCAAAGCTGGAAAATAACATTTCTAAAGAACAAATGGTTTAGCATGTCTATATATATAATCCACTAACACAGAATAGGTACAGCTAATGATATGTAATTGAAATTTATGAATATTAATTTATAATTAATGTGAAATAGCTGTAAGCATCTTAATAAATATGGACATCCAATATTAGACTTTTATACCACATACCAGCCATGAAAATGTTATATAACTATTATTTTTTTTTATCTCTTTGCCTCTTCATTTTAAAAGTAGAATGGACATTTTCTGAAAGATACATGTCAAGCACAACCAGTAGAATGTTTTCTGAGACAGAGAGAAAAGCAGCTGTGCTCAAGAAAAAGCTCAGCAGAAGAAAACTGCAGGGATTTTACCAGCAGGATAAGCAGAGTATAGAAACATCAAGTGAGCCAACATTTAGGACAGCTTCTGGCAATGTAGAAAATCTATATGCAATATATAGATTTTTTTTTTAGCTATTTGCACAACAGTCATTGTGTGTTTAACTCATCCACTTGCTGCCGGGACGAACAACACATATTGTGCACAACTGTGCTGAGGATGTTGCGGGACATAATCAAAGCAAAACAATTAATATATTAAAATAATTGGATAAGGAAGCAAAAATTGGTATCCTTGATTATCTACAGGATAGTGTAATTGAGTAAATTTCCCTCAAGGATGAATAAAAGAAAACAGCAGTGGCTCTGAAAAGGAGGTATTACTCCATAGGAGCACATTGTGAAAATTCAGTCTGAGCAAGTTATAAAAATAGAAATTTTGAGTGGGTCAGAAAGAGGAAAGGCTATGGGGTCACAGAAGATCTGACCAAAACTTGTGATTACATGGAAATGAGGGTCTACACAAGCTTTTTTTGGCTCCAAGTTCACTATGACCGTCATTTTTAGGGCTACAAACAACCAAACCTTGAAAATTCTGAGAAATATTTGTTCACCCATGTTTCCAAAGTTTGACTGTAACTATGGACATCATCATTCCAAGGCCAGGTACAAGGCATTGGCACCATGGGGTGGGGGCTGCTCTTCTGAGTATTGTTTATATTATTGTTGAGAAGCAACTCCATGGGTTTCATTGCTGCTTACAGAGAACTGACACTCTGTGAGAGTCAAAACGCTGGGAGGGTGGCAGACCATGTTGAGTCTTTTTTAAACAAAAGAGAAACCACTCCATCAATTACTGTCTCCCAGCACAAGATATGATCAGTGTTAGAAAGAAGCTGTTACACCAAGTGTAGCTACAGCCACAAGCGCTGAAATAATTGTCTGAGCACATCTTGTTCAGAACTAGCAACAATCCCTTTTACTTTGAGAAATTCCTGTGTAGGAGGAAATTATTTGGGGCAGATGCATATGCCTATTAGGCTGTCAGAAGAATTAGATTGTTTACTGCTTATTTCTTTGTTAGTATGTTCTATGTGAATCTATTCATCTACAGAAATGAGAAGTACAACACAGAGAAACTCTTCCATATTTATTTGAAAGCATTGCTCTTTATAGAAAGGAAAACAAGGTAAATAACTCTTCTAAAAGACCTCTGATATGTAGGAACCCTTTGAAATTATGGCAATGCTTTATCAGCACAATAACTGACAATCTGTCCTGATATAGCTGAGAAAAATCTTGTGTTCTTTTTCTAAAAGATCATCAGACTAAGACAAATGCTAGGCGAGAATGACAGGTTGATCAAATCAGTCAGACAAAATAGAGGGCTCTTAAATATAGCAAGCCTATGCTAATATTCCTTGCTAGGCATTCCAAGGTTTTATTTTGTGTATCAGACGACTTTGGAAATGCTGCAGAATTGTATGCATCTCTGTGTTAATAATCTATCATGCCTTATTACTGAAAAGCCCAGAGCAAAGGAAGAACTTACCATAAAATGAAAAACTTTCAGCCTACATAAAGTGAAACAGCTCTTGCAAAAAGGAGATACATAACATGAGGTATACTTTTAATTCTGCTGTAGCTGTTCAGTAGTTAATTTAACACAATTTCTTAGAGCATATTAAGATAAAAAAAATAAGCAAACCCCAAACCTCTCAGGCAGCAAGTCCAGTATGGAAGTTTCAAGCTCACAGAACCACCTTGCAATTTACAGGCACTGTCTACTCTTTTCCAACCTCCCATCTTCACAATTATTGTTAGCCCACGCGAGAAGAAATTAACAAATCCAACTATTATGAAATGCTCTCAAATATCAATGGTGTCTTTCCACTTTTAGGTCTACAAACCTAAAACAGCTACAACAAAATGAATAAATAGACAGTTATTTTTCTGATACAGCTTCCTAATTGTTTTTCAAACTAGCCACGTGGATCCCATGCTGTGAAGCTTAGCTATGCATATTAACCTCTGGGACTCGAAAATACCTCTGGTGTCTCTATTAGTGTACAGTAAATCCCTTTCAGACTAAACTTCAGACTAAAAATACAGTGACCTCAGAAACTTCTACAACTACTTTCAGGCAGCTGAGTATGAAAATTCGGCTTAAGTCTCCCCCCTTCTCTCACTGGCACATAAACATTTAGGGCTTGACTCTTAGTAACTTAAAACACAGCAATCTAATACTAAGAAGTTTTTAAGACTTTTGTTAAAAACACCTGCCTTAGTATAAGCTATGGTCAGCTCATTACAAAAGTTGACTTGGTAAAAATACCAGGAAATATCTGTTTCCATAGACCAGAGCTCTCTTGTTATGACTGGTTCTTGGTTTACGCAAGTGAACACAGGAAATAGCTGTGTCTCAAAAATTTACCTTCTAGTAAGTCTCTTGCCAGACCTGGTTCTGCCCCTGTGGACCGAACAAAGTCTGACAGGACTGCATCCATATCAAGAGTCATGTGATCATTCAGAGGTGCTGCCAGACATGCAGCAGCAGCTGGATTCACTGGCTGGCTAAAAGGTCTCCATCTGCCAAGGAGAAAAAGAAACAGGGTTTAGAATATACTCCCAGATGACGTAAACCACATTTTTCCTCTAGTCCCTAAACAAGACTATTACAAAAGCTAAAACATACAAATTGCAGCATATTAAAATAAACAGCATTTGTCATCCCTCTCTGCCTTAGCCTAAGCTGCTGATCACTTACACTGGAAGGCTTTTCTCTACCTTAGTATTTCATATTTTTATTGATTTTTCTTATGTGCAGCTCAAAAATAGCTTTGCAACTTGACTTCAATTCAGCTAAACACAAGATTGGTTTATTAAAAGCATGATCACCAGATCATTATTACTACTCATAAACTGAGGTTTAGCAAGGATTTAAATGTCTAGAGCTCTTTTGCCCTTACTAATATTAACATACACACAGCAGAGTATAGGATTTGTTCTTCAATTTGCCTTGCCAATACAGCTTCTGTAATTTATAGATTCTCTGCTGTGCTGGATCTGGTTGGGATTGAGTTCATTTTCTTCTTTCCTTTTCTAGAACTGTGGCTAAACCAGTGGTCATTATAGCTGATATTGCAGTAATTTAAAAGGTTTATTTGTTTTACTTCCTTTTATTGGTGACCAATGCTGTAGCTGCTGAACAATTTTTCCTGTGTTAATGAGCAGTCTGTGGGGGACAATCTTACCAATGTGCTCTCCTAGGAGCACAATCTCCCAGGGACCTGTTAGGAAGCAGATCATGTTTTGCCCCAAGTGAAATGTGACAATGTCTGGCATGGGAATTTTTCTTGCCAAATCCATGGCCTACAAAAATATAGCTGCTCAACTGCATTTTGCATCTTCATTCCTGAAAACAGGAACCTCCTCCTAGGCAATGCTCTTTACAAACATAAAGTAGGAATTAAAGCAGGCACCACAAGAGGAGTTCATACTAGGCAAGCTATTAAAACAGCTAGAATTTAAAACACACTCATCCTAAGCATATTTCCATACTTCAAGCCTGCCTGCAGTGCTGCTGAAATAGTGCAAAGCAAAGAAAACAGGATGAAATTAAACAATACACAAAGTAAGGAAAAACTTATGCTTTATTTTCATCTTTGTTATTCACTGGTCAAAGTTTACCTTTGAGCATGAACTGGATTTTTCCTGTTGATTCCTCCTCACAGGCTCAGTTGCAGCTTTACCTTGTGCCAAGGGTAAGGACTGGCATGGAGATTTTCTGTTGGCAGCAGGTGATGTTGGTTGGCTCTTGCTTGCACCACAGCTACAGGGAAATAAACTGTGAAATAAATTAGAATCCAATTAATTTCACTGTCCCCTATATGAAACAGCCCTTTCCTACTTCATGTGTTACCTGGTTATACTTAGCCTGAAAAATGGAATGCCTTTGCTTTCTTAGATATTGCCTTTTTCTGCAAGTACATATCCTTGCTACAATGCAAACATCATTTATGTTCTGCCTCAGGAGGATGGGGTTCTTCTCAGCCTCATCCGTGGAGACTGGCCACTAAACCTAACTTAGTCCAACAAACTAAAAGTCTGTGGGATATAAAATCACAGAGTGATAGAATTGCTACAGTTGGAAGACACTTTGAAGATCACAGAATCAATGAGGCTGGAAAAGACTTCTGAGATGATCAAATCCAACCCATGACCTGACACCACCTTATCAACTAGACCAAGGCAGTAAGCACCATGTCCATTCTTTCCTTAAACATCTCCAGGGACGGTGACTCCACCACCTCCCTAAGCAGCCCATTACAATTTTCATCAAGAAATTCCTCTTGATGTCCAACCAGAACCTCCCCTGGAGCACCTTAAATGCATGTGCTCCTATCCTGTTATTGTTGCCTGGGAGGAGAGTGACACCCATCTCACCACAGCCTTCTTTCAGGCCAGAGCAGTAAGGTGCCCCTCAGCCCCTTTTTCTCCAAGCTAAACAACTCGAGCTCACTCACAGCTCCTCATCAGACCTGTGCTATGTGGATACCAAGTACAAGTGTGCTCTTCAGGACAAAGGCAGATTACACTGTTACTAATTCTACCTACACTCTTTTGGCCTCTACACTGTCCCAGGGCACATTTCACATCTTTTACACTATTTATACAAATGTATCATTATGTTTGGGCCACATGAGGATAGCAGGGGAGGTGATCTTTTCTTCTCTCTTCAGTCTCAGTGAGACTTGTCTGCAATATTATGTCCATTTCTGGATCCACAACAAAAGAATGATATGGACATATTGGAGTGAGTCCAGTGAAGGACCACAAACTGCAGTGGATCACCTCTGTGCAAGGGACACACTTCTAAAAGGTAATCCTAATGAAGATGTAGAAACAGAAGGAATGCAGGAAGTATTGAGGAGACTAGTTAAAAGGAATGATATTTTGGAAAGAGAACTACCTTAATGGATTATGGCCAAATTTGACATCTAAGCTCTGTCTCAACTGAATCTGTTCCAATGCAAATGCAGGACAAAAATGCTACTTTTATTTTCACAAACACTCATACATAGATACACTGTACTCAACAGCAGTAATCTTACAAAAAGATCACCAGAAACTGAATATAACTGATTTCTTTAGTGAATACAAGAAAGAACAAAATTAATCTTAGCCAGCAGGAAGGAAACATACGGATCAAACTAAAGGAACCTGCCAGAGATGATACAAAGCATTGGTGCATTTCAGACCACCACCAGAAGTGACTCAGTAGTATAATGAGTGTTAATTTAAAATGCACCAGCTGGGCACTCAAGTACAGTCACTGTGTGGGGGCTGGAGTGCTCATAAGTTTGGGGAGCTGAAGTGCATATCAGCTTGGAGAAGCCAATTCATGAGTTGTCTCAGAATCAGCATTACTTCAGTATTTTCAACAGTAAAAAATTACTTCTCAGTAAAAAAATCCTTCTCAGAGCAAAAGACAAGACCAATCCCTGCTTTTATGCTGTCACTATCACCTCAAAATTACCATGTAGAATCTACACTCTGGAAGCAAAAAGCAGACTTGGCAGGATCCTCTCTGCATACATTTGAACTAACACTCTTTTTTCCCCCATGGAAGTTGTTTTCTCAGCCCTCTAGAATTTAGATTTAAAAAAATCAAACACAACAAAAAGAACAAAACCCAACAGAAAAAGTCTTAAAATATTATCTTTGCCAGAAAACTACTATCAGCTGTGAAAAACCACTGAGATGGAAGTGTAAAAAGTAAGCAAAAAAGAAAATAAATTATAAATTCTAAAGAAGGCAGTGACTCAGAAGGCAGGTGCCTCTCAGACCCACTTCTCCCCAGAGGGATTTGGTCTCTCCTTACCTAAGAAACCATCAGCACCAGCTTTGCTCTGGATGGCTTGTCAAAGCATTAACACAACTTACACTTTACATACACACACAGAGCAGATCTAATGCAATCCTTCGCCTCACACCACCTGTCCATGAACACCACTCCTCCTGTGGGTAACACTACAGACACCTGCAGTTTTCATCTCAAATGGGTCACACATGACACACAAACGCCACTTTGAACTGAATGGAAATTGAAACATCTTGGGCATCAAAACACAGAAAGACATTGGTTTTCACTCACTTTCTGGACAAACTTCTTCCTAAAAAAATTCTTATTTGTACAGTACAAATACAAGACGCTGTGGAATTGGATAATTTGTTGTATATTATAAGAAAAAAGCATTCTTAAAGTATTTAAAGAGAAGATACTGATTACTTTGAAATGTTAAGATGGGCTAACAGGACTTGAAATCAATTTAGTACAATCTCAGTTACATTTGATCTTTTCTTCTCCTTTAAGTACCTCTCTCAAAGCTGAACCATACTTGGAAGTAAACAGTCTTCACCTGAATCTAAATTAACTTCTTCAAAATCAAATAGCTTCACCAGTTAAATGTGAACTGTTAAATGATATGAAGAATTTATTTTTTTTTTCCCTAAAGAATTTAAAGAGATGCACAGGGCTAACTAATGAAGCAAAAGCAATCATGTTAAAATCCATCCCATGCATCCAGAACAGACACAGCTGACAAAACCAAAGTGAGGAACAGAAAGAAAACAGCACACACTGGATGAATCCTCAGGAAGACAGAATGACTAAGCTGCATCTACCATCTTTCACTTTCCTAATTTTCAAAGAAAGGATGCAATAAGCACCATCAATAAGATGCACAGTCTTGGTGCTCTGGGAAACCAATGGAGAGACAGCTGGATATTGCATTAAACCAGTTCCCCCCGGCTGTTTTTATGTCCCTGCAGTGTGGCAGGTCTCAGGGCCTGCTTAATATCACTGCTGGCTCTCTGCTGCTCTGGCAACGTACAAAGGTGCACTCAGCTCCTGGGTGCAACATTCCTGCTGCCCGGGCTGGCTGTGAAGGCAGAATGACCCTCTTTGTGCACACTTTCAGTCTTAGAAAGTAATTCGTTCTGACAGGCCACAAATTGATGGGAAATGCCATAATTCTACAATATTGACAATATTATGAAATTAAACCACTCTTTATTAGGTTAAACTATTAAGCAAAAATCTATAATTAAACAATCAGGTTCGGGAGAGATTTGTTTAGGAGAACAGCAGCTTTAAGGGAAGTGGTAGTTAATGCAGGCCACTTAAGAAAGTGGAGATGGTATTTTTTTCTGCTAATGGGATTAAAAGGCATTAGTTGAAGAAGCCAAATCGATGGTAATTACCTAAACAAAAGGTTACTGTGAACTAGACCTAATGGCAAAGTGAAGCATTTATATGTTAAAATGTGGACTCCCAAAACACAGTAAAATTACAAGACAGCATTTGGTAAGGGCCGTCTACCTTCTCAAGCCTAAAATATCAGGGTTTTGGAACAAAAGGAGAAGAACAAAAAAGACAAAAAGTAAAAGCTAAAATCAGACATTATTACTAAGGTTTTATCTACACAATGGAACTCAGGAAAATTAACCCAATTAATTTAACTGGATTTGTCTATATCCAATAAATTCCTCTGCAAACACTTTCATCTGTGAATAAAATGCTGGCCTAAATTTGGTTTGGCTCTTCTTGCCTTCGAAGTAAGTTAAACTGAATTCACTGGAGGCCACTTTAATTATGAATGGAATAGTGCATCCAGGGACTTGGTGGGATTTAAGCTGCCCTCTTCGAATTCCTACAGTTAGTTGATTTGCATCAATTTACCCTGGTATCTTGTGTAAACAAGTCCTGAACAGATACATTAGACACAGAAGCGGAAAAAACAGATAAAGAAGTTATGCTGAAGAATCCTTGGCTCTGTGGGAATCATCAAAGAAGAGCTGTCCAAGAGAACTGCTCAAGTTCTTCAAGTCCAGTTCTAGGATAAATACCACCAAGGTTCAGGCACCAACTGGGAGGTATTTTAAAAATGCAGCTATATTTCAATTTTCAGAAATGCTATATAAAGTGTCTACTATTTGCTTACATATTTGAATTATTTCAAGCTAGAACTATAATGAAAGTCACAACTAAATTATCTTTAGATGAGATTTTTATAACTGTATTTTCACACAGCTTCAAAGGGTTTTCATAACACCCATTTTTCTTTCTTAAGAGTGATTACATTCTCAGAAGGATAAAATGTCACAGATAAACAAGAAGTTCATAGAAACAGGGGTCCTGAACTGGAATAAACCGAGCAAGAGAGACAGCCTTTTCAGGTAAGGTTCTTCTACATCCTTTCATCGGTATTTTTTCAGGATAAAACACCACCATTGCTATAGCATTTTTTTTTTTCAAACAAGAAAACATGATACAAGATATGTATACATGCTAACAAGATAAAACAATTTATGGAGAATGAACGCAAGTCAATTACAACGTTTCTCTTATTTTATTCACAAGGGCCCTCATAGTGTATTAATTTTAACAGAAAGCAGCTGTGCAAAGGATAAATGTAATGCCACTGATAAAGGCAGAATTTCTCTGAAACAAATACCTTAATTTTAAAATGAATTCAAGTATTAATTATTCCTTTATCTATGAGTGTAATAAAGAAGTAGGCAGTAATACATTGTGCTGGAAAGATGACAATTAGGCTTTCAAATGTTAATCTGAGGCCTCTTATTAAATGCAGTTTCACTAAGTAACATGCATCTCCTTTACTAGAATATATCTCCAAAGAAGCAAGATAAACAAACTAGATTTCTTCGTCCTTTGGATATTTTCCCCTATTTTGCCCCCCTCATTTTCCTCACTTATGAATTTATCTTGATACAGCAAGAAGATTTTATACTGACATATAGATTTCTCCAAATGCCATCCTTCTTTCTAATACAGATGGTATGCTGACCAAACATAGCTTTCTCTCCCAAAACATCTATCATGTACTCAGCCTGCATAAAATTAACTTCACTGTATGAAAAGCATGCATTCTGAGCAGCCATTTTTGGACATCTATGATGTGGCGTTTCATTACTTTTTTTTCAAGTCAGCCTTGCATAAGGAGTGACCCATTTGGGCCTGTGGGCACCACGAGAAGCCTTCAGCTCCGCAGCAAACACCACCAGCTGAGCCCCTTGCAGCTCCCTACATTTTGAGCTCTTTACCCCCCTGTTTCTCCACTGCGACGTCTGGAATCAATTGTCATAGCAACAGGAGGCTGAGCCTTCATCTGCACTGCAGATCAGCTTCCTGATGGGCCGCTGTCACTGAGGCCTGACCCTTCTGCGCAGAACCCGCTCCTGAGGGGACACCGGGTGACACCGGAGCCCAGCCCTGCCCCGCAGAACCCGCTCCTGAGGGGACATCGTGTGACACCCGGGTGACACCGGAGCCACGGGCTCAGCCCAGCCCAGCCCTGCCCCGCAGAACCCGCTCCTGAGGGGACACCCGGGTGACACCGGAGCCCAGCCCTGCCGCCGCTCCCCGCCTCCTCTGGTGCCACTCCAGCAGCAAGAGAAGCTGTAAAAGCCACCCTGCTCGGATCAGCGCTCCTGGGAAGGCTGCTGGGAAAGCTGTAAATAGACACACGGCTGATTAAAGCCACCTTTAAGCCAGTGGTTAATTTGACTTACAATAGACTTTAAATAAGAGTTCCTTGAGGCAGATGTTGGATGGGTGTTATGCTGCTGGTTTTTGGTGAGGAAAATAATCCGTTTTTGCCACAGTAGAAGGTATGAATAAGCAAAATTTTGTCCCCTGAGAAATCTGGAAGAAAAAAGAAAAAGAAGTAGTATATTAATCATTACACTTTTGCTATTTGAATAACTGCTAAAATAGACTTTACCTTTGACCTCAGAAGCATAATGGCTACTACTCTTAATACAGATAAATTACCACATACAGTAATTTGCATTAAGAATATTACTTGGGCACAACCTAGACAATTAATAAAAGAAAAGAATTATGAATGTACAAAAATATCCTTATGGCTCTCCTACATGAAAATGGCAACTTGCACTTGGAATTTCTTTTAACAGTTCTTTGTCCTAAGATTCATCAAATACAGATTTGAAAGTTTTCTTCTCATAAGCTTCCAAAATCTGAAGCAATGAACTAATGAAGAGATATCCAGGAGAAGACTCAATCAGGATAGCCTCTCTTTTTGATGAAAATAGACAAGCACATGAAGAAAAAAAGGAACACCATTTCATGGGGTTTATTTCTTTTTAAAGGATACAGCATTCCCTTTCCATATAATCTATCTCCTAAGAATAAATCCTGCTGCTTGCAAATACATAATCCAATTACTATAAGCCTCACCTTATTATTCTAAAAGGCACTTACAATCAGTTTTACTGTTTCTGTTTTTTTAATCCAGTTGCAAAACTCATACAAGTTGTAACTGGGCCCACCCAGCCCCACCAAAATCAGGATTTAACAGCCCAAATATTTCTATCATGGAAAACATTCCTTCTGATAATGCTTTTAAAACAGGCAATACTATAAGAAGGTCCACAATTTTTAGGAATTTGTGACAATTAGGATATGAAAACGGAACATAACATTATTTCTTGTTATTTCCTAAAATACATACACAAGTAACCAAATCTCAGTACATAATGGTTCCTATGCAAAAACTCCCAGTTCTCTATGTGACAACTCAACTGTAATATGAGCTAAGTACCTAAATTAACAAGAGTTAACTTACCCAACTCTAGCTCAGGTGTATGTGAACTAACATATAGGAGTTAATAAAATTTGTACCTTCCTTTTCCTTCACTGTAACATACTTTCCTTCAAGAACTATAAATTTGACCAAAGTCAGATTCAATTCTCTGTTGGAACTCACTTATGGATGTAGCACATCACAGACACCCTCACACTGCACTGAAGCAGATTATTTCAAAGTTTGTAACGGCATTAAAAGCATAATTTCATACATTGCACATGAAATACAGTTAAACCACATTCGCCTGTGACCCTCTCTATATCACCCTCAGGGAACTTAAAAAAAAAAACTGTGAAACCCTCAACTTACACAAGCAATTCCTAATAGCCCTTAATGCTTTCAACGGTACTTGGACTGCAGGGGATAGAAATGGTCATCAAGTGTGAATATACCTCCACATTTCCAGCTATACGATATTAACAAACAGAAATATCCACACTATGAAACTCCTGTTAGCTATTGGGAAATAACTCAAAACTCTGATATCCAGCCCTCAAAACTGAATGATCATGCTTCTGCTAAGGAGATGTAACTTCTACCATTGCTCTGAAAATAAACAAGCAAAGTATATTTTTTCTAACACATGTTAACAAAAATCATTTTTATAGTCAAAACATTTTTATAGTTTTGTTCAACACATCTGCTGCAGAGAGTAATAAACACTTTCTAACACTCTGTCTACTTCTTCTGTTGAAAGAGGACTCACCTAATGTGCTTGCAGTGAATTTTTTTTTATTCTATCACAATTTACCATTTAAACTAAAATAAAAATCATTCCATTTAGCTTGTGGTTGTAAATAAGTTCTCTAAAATATTACCATGGATACTCTAATGGTCAGGGCACAAGGACATGCACACAGCTCAACCCTTTACAGCCTTTCTCATGCAGCATTGGAGCTTCAGCAGTTTAAGATCAACCCTAAATACTGCTTACTCTGCTGTATTCCCCTGTATAGTGGGCCAAGAAACTGAAAAATGCTCCCTATATGACCCCAACTTGGTCTGTGACAAACTACACAAAGTTATAAAAGGTCAGAATAAAATTATCATGAGATATGAAAAGGTTCAGGACAGAATTTCAGTTGTAATTATTTCATCATTCTGAGCACAAATTTTGAATTTATCTTTTTACCTTTGCATGGTCCCTGCAACAGCTTCTGTGAGAAGTTAGCAAAGAAAATGAAACGCAGACTGAAAATGCTAAATACATATTGCAAACCAAAGAACTCAGTCTCCAACAGGTCTTTTGAAGGTAAGAGTCTGAGGCAAAATCAGCTGAGGCCAGAGATCAGAGATGTTCTTTACTAAGAATGTATATCCACAGTAACTCTCATTTTTCCCTGTTTTCATCTGACATTTCAAAGTAGTCCCTAAGAGCTGAAGAAGCTTCCTCCATTCAGTTTCTAGAAACACCTCAATTCTCTCCCAAGACTCTCATGCACTGCTTGTTCTGAACTCAAAAGGGGTTCTATTTTCCACTTCTGCTTTTGACACAGGACTCAAATACATCCTACAATTTTCTCAGCAGCTTAGGATCAGCTGCACAGTGCTGAAAACCTCTGCCAATACTCTGTTGAATGTCGATCAGCATCTCCCCAAGTGTGAGCACATCTCAAATGTGTGCTTGCTTCCATTATTTTTGTTACATACATGCACACTGAAGTAGCTGTAAGTCCACACATAAATCATCAACTTCTGCAACATCAGCTTTGTGCTTAGATTCTTTCAAGACTTGGCTTCTTCAGTGCAAGTTCTACATTCAGTACAAGGCCTTGCCCACTGCTCATTGGTTCCTTGCAATTATTTAATTTAGCTCAAGCAGCATATGAGGGAAAAGATATCTCTAATAACAGGGAAGCAATAATATTCAAGAAATAATAACAAGATAACCAGCAGGGAAGAGGTCTTCATGATAAAGATGGCCACTATGGGTATGGTCTTCTTAAAGACAAAGGACAAGTACCAAAGAAATGATAATTCTATTCTATCTATGGAACTGTGTCCATCTGTGTCCTGCAGATGTCTGTGTTGAAAACTGTTGGGGGAAGGATGCAAAGTTGACACGTAGCTCAGCTACAAAAGATCCATGACTAGCTAATGTTCCATATTCCTGCAGATCTTTGTGACAGTTGTCATTCCCCAGAGTAAGGCAGCACCTCAATTATCTAACTTTTCAAAGACAAGTTCTTGAGAAGAGTCTGAAGTGCTGGCACAAACTCAGTTTTTTCTGAACCTTCATCACTTGAAATTTCTTTATAATCACTGCATGAGAAACTTTGAGAAACCTATTGCTTTATCTATGTCTTAAGTCTGTAGAGTCTGTCACAAGTTACTGATGAAGGAAAGGATTTCTCCTCCTGCTAGAAAAAAAGTCTTACTGTGACAGTGTTCTTGCATGTGAATGTGTTTCTCCCCTTCTCGGCTTATGCTGGTTTGACTCAGAAAATGTGTGCAGTGGATTGAGCTGACAGGGATATGAAGGCAGAGACTTAAAGGACATCAAAAGTGTTAGCAGTATGAGCTCTGTATAAATAGTCTTACTGATACAAGTCTCCAAGCATCCTTTATCTTCTTGTACACAGAGATTAGAGGAAAGCTCAAATACTTAATTGTATGTCAAGTGCACAGTCAGCGATTAAGGGTTCAGTATACTCTTTAAAAATGGAGGCTGCAGCACATCCATGCCTTGACAGAGACAATTCAGCTGTTATTTTAAACACAAGGCTTGACTGTCTGTTACTCTGCACGTTACATTGTTCCTCACATCAAGGCAAAACACATAATGGTGATTTTTCCTCATTCCTCTTAAAAATACTGATCCACTCAATTGGTTCATCCCACAGCTTCAGTGACAGACTGATGAGAAAGTTCTCTCGCTTACAAGTACCCTAAAAATAGCAGCAGGATTGAACTTCTGAAATTGAGACGATGTACATAAAGCAAGTCCTTGTAAGTCCTTAGGTGCACATAGGATAGAAAGAATAGCAAGCTATGAGCAGGCATTCTTTTAACATGCTGGAATATCAGCTCGGTGCGTGCTGAGCTAAATGAGCTGCAGCAGGAAAAACACACACACACACACACACACAATGCAGCAAAACAGAACTGGGTAATTTCCCCCCAACCCTGAGACTCCCACCCTTATTTCTGTGAAACATGATGTTCCTCAGTTACTGCATTTAATTTAGAAAATGAAACTAAGAATAATAGAAGACTTAATTCCTTTTCATCCTAAAAAACCCTATCGTTAAATATGATCTCCAAGATTTTAAAACAGCTAAAGATACAAATGAGGAAATACAGATTTGAGACATGCATCTAGAATGATTAATTTCACAGCATTTTGAAGATATGTAATGTAAGTACAGCAACTGTGTTTCACTTAGACTACATAAGTAATTGAAAGTCCTGCAGTAGGAAAGGCATTCAGTGAAATGAATGTGAAATTATCTAGAATTAAGAATGGCTGTTCATCAGAATTATTTATTTTTTTAAATGCCCTAAACAGTAAGAAAAATCCCTCTTTCATTTAGTTAAATAAATTTGGTAACACAGACAATTTTCTCTAGCCATAAATAAGCTGCAACTACCTCTATAGCTATGACTTTCCTATAATTCAGGCAATATGAAAAACAATAATTAATAGGAAATACTCAGGCTAAACAAGGTGAATTAAAACTTGATGAATCAAGGAAACTGTTATAAGGAAACATGCAGCAGAATTGTACACACAAAAAAAGCAACAGCAACTAACAGATATTCCAAGTTTGATGTTAAAATAGCCTATTTTCTGACCAAGATCAACAGGATTAATGGATATTCATCATCTCTAAGAGGTAGCCCATTAGTTCTAATTGCCACTGTCGTCATCATCTATTATTGCATTCTATGGAAAAGCAGGACACGGAATTAAATAGCACTGTACAAACTAGGAAATTCATAATGCCAGGAAAAAACATATGGAAAAGGCTATTGTTTGCAAAATAGAGCCTGGAGGTGGGGGAATAAAACCCTTCACTACACTGAATATTAATGT